TCACTCTCAAAAGAATTCCTGATTTGGAAGATAAATTACCCTAACAAGCCTCACATGGATATTCCTGACCAAACTCATTAAATCCCCCTCCCTCATTCCCAATCCTGCCACATATTCTCGTGATCCCTGTCTTGAAGCATGGCCCTCGATCCCCAGCTGCCTGAGGGAAGGTCTCTTTCCTGACCCTCAACTCCAGGTCTAGAGCAGCTGCCAAGTCCTGCTTCTTCAGCCTCCAAAACATCTCTCAAATGTACCCTTTCCTCTGCATTCCACTGCTGCCATCGTTTAGATTGGGGAGGAGTGAGGGGGAGTGTCACAAAATCAAATTGTCAGATCTTCTCATTTTTCAAAAGAGTTTAGACATCAGGGTGATTCTGATGTGAAACCTCCCAATTCATAAATGATGATTTCAAAATACTGTGTAGGCCGGATGAAACATCTGCAGCCACTTTTGGTCCACGAGCTCTTCTTGGTTTCCAGGCTCCAGTTTCAAACGTCACCTTTTGTCTAGACTGGCAGTAGTCTCACTCACCCTGCCCCTTCTGGTCCAGCCGCCTCACTGCCCCTGGCCTTTTCTTTCCGCATTACAGATCTGATCACATAAGAGCTCTGTCTGAGGAGGTCTTTGCTGTCTCCAGAACAGAATGCACATCCCTCGATGCTGCCTTTGAGATCCTTCTTTGTCTGACTTGACCCATCTCCAGCTGTGTCTCCTGCTACCCTACGCACACCCTGGCTGTGATATTGTTACATGCAACTATTTGCTGTCCCCTAAGCAGTCCCAATATTTTTTTTTACTTAACGGGTTTTTTTAGAACAATTTTGGATTTATAGAAAAAGTGAGTACAAAGAGTTTCCATGTTATTCCTCTCTTCCCCAGCCCCTCTCCCCAGTTGGCTGTTATTAATAGCATGCATTAGAGTGGTATGTTTGTTACAATTAATGAACCCATATTGACACATTATTATTAACTAAAGTCCATAGTTTACCTTAAGGTTCATTTTTTTGTTGTTGGCAATACCAATGTTTTAATACTCTTTAACACTTTTTAATAATTCACTTTCCTCTGCTTGCGTATTCTTTCCCCAATTCTGGCAAGATTCTTTTCAAGGCCAAATATGAATCCCATATTTGCAAATATGATATTCCTGCAAAGCCATCTCTGTTTATTTTTGGAATGGGGGCTGGAAGGGAGGGAGGAGACAGAAAGAGAACTAGCATTTTGATCAGGTGCCGAGCGTGTGCCAAGTACTCTACATATATATTCTTTAAAATCTCTCTACAGTCCTGTCAGATAGGTAGACATTATTATACTCTTTACTGCGAGGAAACCGAGGTGAACAAGTGGCCCAAAGCCCCACAGCTAGGAACTGGGTTTCCACCCAAGTCCTCCTGGCTCCAAAGGCTGTGCTCCTTGCCCCGCCCACAGGGCTACATTCTTACTACTGATCCAGCCTCCCTGCCTTCCCCACTGGATTAGGAATCCACTAGGGTTAGGAATCCACTGAAGTGAGGAGTGCGTATTATTCAGCTCTGTGTTTCCGCTCCTAACATGGGGTTGGCACCAACAGCAACTCACCAGACCCATGGGCACGTGTCTTAAAGGCAGAGTTAATACAGGAAGGGGCATCCAATATCGACATCAGTTCAGCAAATGCTTGTTGAATTCCTGCTCTGCACTGGATGTGGTGAAGGGTGAGGCCACGCATAAGAGCAAAGTGATGGCGATGCTATCGTGCAGGTTATAAATCCCAACCAGGCAGCATCTGGGAAATGATTGGTTTTCTGTTTATTTGCAACTAGAATGTAAGCTGCAGGAAAGCAGGGATTCTATGTGTTCTCTGCTGCAGCCCCTAGGACAGTGCCTGGTAATAATAGTTGTTTAATAAATATTTTTGGACTGAATGTTGGAATCCTGTTGCAAATTTGAGACGCCTAAAGTGACACTAAGCTCCTCAGAGTTCTCCTGTTCTCAGTTAGTCATCATCCTCAGGTCTGGCAGCTTCAGTTTCTCTGTGTTTGGTTTGATACAGTCCTGTATTATAGGCTGTTTCCAAGTTATCCCAGGCCTGGGCTTGACCACACTCTTTGCCCAGAAGTTCTTCTGGACCAGAACTTTAGGAAAGGACGGGAGGAGGATGAGCTGCCTCACCCCTGCTGTCCTTTCAGAGCTGATGGACAAATGATCCTTCCTGGGAGCTGCCTGGAGCTCCTGGATCTGACCTTGGACCAGAGTTCCAGGGGCCTGGCCTCACTTCTGGACTGAATGCAAAGGATGGCCTCATTTTTCTTGAGAGAATTAAACCCAGCACTCTTTTTTTTTTTTGGCCACCCCATGGGGCTTGTGGGATCTTAGTTCCCCGACCAGGGATTGAACCTGTGCCCCCTGCAGTGGAAGCACAGAGTCTCATCCACTGGACTGCCAGGGAAGTCCCAAACCCAGCACTCTTAATGCCATATGAGGGTAATCATATTTTCAAATATTTTCATTAATTATCTTGAAGGAAAAAGTTATCTCAAACATAGTAACCTGGGGCTTCCCTGGTGGCGCAGTGGTTAAGAATCCACCTGCCAACGCAAGGGACACAGGTTTGAGCCCTGGTTCGGGAGGATCCCACATGCCGCGGAGCAACTGGGCCGTGTGCCACAACTACTGAGCCCGCGTGCCTAGAGCCCATGCTCTACATCAAGAGAAGCCACCGCAGTAAGAAGCCTGTGCACTGCGGCGAAGGGTGGCCCCCGCTTGCCACAACTAGAGAAAGCCCACTCGCAGCAACGAAGACCCAATGCAGCCAGAAATAAAATAAATAAAATAAATTTATAAAAAAAACAAAAAATATAGTAACCTGTTTCATACATTTGCTCATAAGCCTTTTTTCTCCTCTCCCCTCCCTCTGGCTTCTCTGCTCCTTCTCCTCCCCTGCCCCCTGTTTTGCTTGTCTTCTCTGACCCTGTCTTTCACTTGTATTACTCTGTCTTTCCTACGTGCTTATTTCCACCGAGGTTCTTCTAAGCGTACCTCCCCCTCTATTTGTTCCATGTAAATAGATCGCTCTCCGTTCCTGGTGAATAACCAGGATCACAATTGTTGTCTGGTTTGTGCCCAAGGTGACAGAATTGATGGACTTGTAGGCCGATTTTCATAAACCAGAGCTACCAAGCGTTTCAAAAACAGCCTTGTTTTTGCCAAGTAAGGTGAGCAAATATAGGACTAAGTTTAAACATCCATCAGGAGTTATTTTTGAAGTGATTGCTTCTAAATGAGAGGCGTTTGAAAATCTCACGGCTTTCTTTACAAGTAAATTCCAAAGTCATGTATTTTGCTGGTGTCTGCTGATTAATTATAATCCTGTGACACCATGAAAAGCCCTGGTGGTTGGTTTTGTGCAGCTGTGGAGAGAAGTAAAGCTAGGCCCAGTGGCTTTGCCAGCTCTTTCAGGATGCTGGGGATTCGGGCAGAGGGAGGTAGTCTTTTCACTCTGGCAGTCATCGCATAAGAACAGAAGCCCCGGCCAGACTCATTGCTCCAGACTTCATGACGGGCGGTGTGAGTCCCTGTGGGGAGTGCAGTGAAGTAGTGATGGTTGATCGGTTGCTTCTGAAATAACAGATCAATTATTAGAGAAAGCATTTGCAGTCTCCACATGGGGACTTGTGTGCCTTCTCCTGTACAATTACTTCTATTTAGGAAGAAAAAGATTTTTAATAGCAGTTACATAAAATAAGTAATCAAAATTTCCTTGACTCTCTAAACCACAGGTGCTCAGCATATAGCAGATCTCTGACCCGGGAAAACCTGCCAGCTCATACCCATTTAGAGTCTGATGACTCTGGATCTCTTATCTTGGCCTTTGGTTTTCCTCATTGCTTCCTTCTGTATTTAACTCTCAAGTCCCTCACTGACAGGAAAGAGAGAAGAAAAAGTTGAATCTTGTTACTTAGGTAGAATCATGTGCCGCTCTGGTAAAGAATACAATAGGGAAAGAAAACAAACTGTTTATTAAAATAGACTTTCCAAGTTCTTGATGTGTTTATCTGTGCTTGCTTTGCTCCACCCTCCTCCTCCCCTTGATAAGGGCACTGAAGGATTTCTCTGACATGTCTTTTCCCTTGACACTGGCTAAGGTCAGTGGATCCCATTTACGCCCTTGTCCACTTTTGTTCTCTGCTGCAGGTTTGTACTTCTCACAAAGGCCTTGTTGATGTCATCACTGAGTGAACCCAAGATACACTTACGTGCGTGTGCCAATGCGCGCGCGCGCGCGCACACACACACACACACACACACGGCCTATGGCACGTGCTTGCTGGAATTGTGGCCTTCATTCTAAATATAGGCTGCTGGAGAGATACAACAGGATTTGTCTTTCTCTGCTTAATTCTGATATATAATGTCATGCAAGAATAAGAAAGTGGGGTGTGTCTGCAGTGCTCCCTCGGCTCCTGACATCTCAGGGAAGATCTAAAAAACCTAAATAGTTTACAGACATCACTGTCCACTGTTAGCGAAGGCAAGCATCATTGCGGCCTGCTTCTTTAGCCAAGCATGTTGTGATAAACCCCAAACCAGATTAGACTCACAGACATTTGATTTTTCCTGTGTAGTAAGATTTTGACTTTAAAAAGTACTTTTTTTTTTCCATATGAGACTGCTAAGATAGAGAAAGATGTTTGCATTTCTTTGCTAAAATCAATTTATAGGTTGTTTGTAACTAATAAGCTCTTGGCATCTAATGACTGGTCACAGAGTAATCTTCATTTTTTGGACTTGTGCGAGGAACCCAGAGCACAGGTACAGATGAAAGACGTTGGTTTTTCGCCACCTGCTGCGTCCTCCAAGACCAACATGATTTTTCTGCAAAGAGACCAGAGCCACATTTTGCAGGTGTCTGTTTTCTTTGAGGGGAATGTTTTAAGGAAACCTAAAAGGGAGGAACTGGACATTTAGGAAAAATATATTTTCACAGCAGGATATTGCTTTTTCTCTTTTTTTGGTTTAGGTTTTTCATTTGTTACAAGCCTTCTCAGACTCCAAATACAGAATGAATACATACTTTCAGCAGGAGCTGGCTGACGTCGCTGTTTGTACTAAAGCCAAAATCTGGCTGGCCAAGAGGTATGTTAAAGCCCCACGTGAGCATGGAGTTATCAGGGGTTAGGAATACATTGGAGAAATGCTGTTTCTAGTTGTGGGAGTTTTTTGTTTTTTTTTTTTTTTTTTGCGGTACACGGGCCTCTCACTGTTGCGGCCTCTCCCGTTGCGGAGCACAGGCTCCGGATGCACAGGCTCAGCGGCCATGGCTCACGGGCCCAGCCGCTCCGCGGCATGTGGGATCTTCCTGGACCGGGGCACAAACCCGTGTCCCCTGCATCAGCAGGCAGACTCTCAACCACTGAGCCACCGGGGAAGCCCAGGAGTATTTATCTTTTTTGAACTTTGGGTTGTGGTAAAGAAAGAAAAATATTTTCTTGACAATTTTTCTAAAACTGCTGTGTGGCTGGGGGGCATGTAATATGGCTTTTTATCTGTCCACCAATCAGCTTGTTTTTATGAATACCTGCTATGTGCCCAGCCCTGTGTTAGATATCCTAACAATGAAAGGCAGTAATTGACTAAATCATGTGGTACAAACTATCAGGTACCATTGCAGCTCAGAGATGAGAGATTGATGTTAGACTTGAGCAGCTTCAGAGGGGCCCAGAGCAGGTGAATAAGAAAACGACATGCAAATTGCCTTTTTGGGTAGGTAGTAGAGAAGATTGAATAAGCAAGGCAAAGGAGAGTGGATACGTTTTTTTTTCTTTTATTCATCCTTGCCATCGTTAGTTTTTTCTGAAACTTAGAACATTTACCATGTGAAAGATGGAGCAAAAAGAATTTCTCAATTTCTCTCGAATACACAAGGAGTCCTCTCTGTAACACTCTGTTCAAAATCTGTGTTACTGCAAGGGCCTCCCACCCACTGCTACATCCTCTGTGATTCTGGGAGAAGGGGGGTCCAGCAGAGGCCCATAGGCTACCACATTCCATGCTGTGGTATATTGCCTTTGATTAATAATTAGTATGTTGGTTGTCTAACATAACAGCCTCTTTTTTATTTTTCAAAAAATGTGCTTTTGTTCACTTTTGTTGGTCTCCCATCTTATATGGCAAGACAAGCAATGGTTAATGTGAGACCCACAAATCAGTGTAATTCAACAAAGTCTTGTGAGCGAGCATAGACTACACGATAGCCGCTGTGTTAGGAGATGTAGGGATGCAAAGGTGTAGAAAGAATTAGTCCTGGCTTCAAGGAGCTCCCATCCAGGAGGTGAGAAGATGTGTAAATAAATAATTTTCATCGAATATGGTGAGTATGATAACAAATGTATGTAGTAGGTACAGGAGTAGCCCGGCATTTGGAGGGTGGATGCCTTCAAGAGTTGGGAATTTTGCCAAGTGGCCAGGGTAGGGCGGGGTGTTCCAGGCTCAGGGAATGTCATAGGCAAAAACATAGCAATATGAAATGACATGGTGAGTGTGGAGAACTAGAAAGAAGTTAGCTCTTCTGAAACCTAAAGTATAAGGTATGTGTAGCAGAGAATGGGGCTGAGGAGATATGTGGAGGCCGCTTGGTGAAAGGAAAGCAACCCAGTGAAGAATTCCTCAGTGGGTAGAGATGTGAGTCTCCATGTTTGTCTAAACACCTGTATCTTTGGCCAGAGATAGTGATGGGGAAATTCTCTAGTATCTGAAATGCCAGTAAAGTGATGGTTAATGGTTAGCCTCTCATTTTTAGTACGATTTTTGTTTTCTCTTTTATTTAGAGAACAGGAGTTCATTGACCATAAACTGCTCCCCTGAGCCTAGTATCATTTGGCTTCTGTGTGGCTTTTAGAGAACTTCCCAAGATGGCTTTTTTGAGAGAACAAAGAATTGTGATCATATTTGTACTCTCATCTGTTTACCAATTAGTAGGCCTGGTCCTCGTAGCTATTATTTCTGGGGATCAGGAAGTCAGGGAAACGATCCTATTGAAACCCCTGCTTCCAGCCAGGACTGCCCCAAGACAAAATCTGAATCTCCTGTTCTTAAAGTTCTATAAGGAAGGAATTTCTGCCCCCTTAGTTTGCTACCCCTTGATGGGTCTTATAGAAATTCATCATCTGTTGGCTTCCTGAGTCAATTCCTGCTTGTTGGCTGGGAAGGAGGAGATAGAGTAATAGGCCAGCCATCTGAATGGGCCTTCATGTTGTGCAGTTCCCTGTGATGGATGACAAAGCTGCCATCAGCCCCCTCTTCAGCTGGAGAAGTCCTCCTGGTCTTCTAATTGCACTAAGAAAATTGCAGTTTTCTAATCAGTCTTTTCATTATTGTCTGCATCCACCCTTCCCCCCCATTCTCTGATTTTCCTCCATGATTTTCCAGCCCTAGAAAACAAAGGCATGAATCACTGAAATTCACTGGGTTTCCACCTTCTTTGCCCAGAGTCCAGGAAAGCCACTTTTATGTTTCCAGTACAGTCAACTCTTTATTATCCAAGTGTGAACTTTACACTCCGTGGGTGGTCTGTTAACACCAGGCTTCCTCTTGCTCCCCAGTTCACTTTTACCATATTAAGCAGGATGTGTTCAGAGCCTGGAATAGAGTTTGAAAGGAAAACACATGGCCAGAACACAATGTATCCCAAAGCCACGTGTCAGTTTTTCTGGATTATCCACGTCACTGGCAGGATAACTTTGAGTTTCCTGAATAGGAAGGTATAGAATCAGATATAAGTGATGAAGCCTCAGCCTGTTGCACGCCTGCCCTGCCCTTGAGGTCCTCAGAGAGTGTTGTCCCAGAAGGTGTTTGTCTGCACCGGGAGCCCCATGCTCAGATGAGCCACTTATGGGTCCTAGTGGGCCCTTCTCAAAGCCAACCCCTGACTTACATTCTCACATTCTTTTCCCCTGAAAACCATTACAATGCAGAGCATTCCAAATTTGGCTGCTGAAGAGGCTCCTTTATGTCCATAGAAATTTACAAAAGAAAGAGGAATAAATGTTCTTTTGTGCCTACTAAGGATTTTCTGTATCTTCTTAGTATAGCTTGAAATGTCAGTGTTATTGCAAAAAAAAAAAAAAGTCGGTTTAAATTTTAGCACTAACACCTTTTCCTTCTTCAATTTATGTTGATCATTAGCTTGAGTTTATTCAGTCCAGTGTGTACAAAAACATTAGTGAGGATGTAATTTATTTATTCCCCAAAAAGGGGTTTAAAAAAAAAGTACATTGGAGCCATTGGATGACCAGTTCCGTTTTTAAAATTTTAACCCCGAAATTGAGGGCATATAAAATAAAGACTTTTGTCATATATTTGTGTTTTGACTTTGCAAGATTAATAGGAATTTATATGAGGTGATTAAGCAATAGCCATGGATTTGTTGGGGAATTTTTGGTGATGAATGGCCAGCTGGCAACATGGCCCGAGTAGGGGACTGGGCTTCTGCTCTTACAGGCCGCTTTTCATTCCAAGATGTCAAAGCCTTTATGGAAATCAGCTGGTTAATCCTTCAAGTCCCTTCCTTCCCCTTTTTCCTCCATCCCTCTCTCCTCAATCCAGTTTACTGTCTCTCTCCTGGTGCAAAGGCAGTTTACCAACTACTGAAGGAGAACTAAGCTGACCCAGGCCAGAAACTGAGTGAAACTAGGGGTCAGCTGGTGGCCTGGCGAGGCTGACTGTGGGAGAGGAGGTCAGTGCAGCCCCGCTCGAGGCCCTGTCTGCTGCCCTTGCTATGTACAGATTCCAGCTCTTCTGTCCCAGCTGGATCACAGGTCCCACCTGAATAGGAAGGACTTTTAAAAAGCCCTGTCAAGTAAGAGAAAGAGGAGAAAAGATTTATTTACTTTGATTGAGAGTTGGAATTACTGTTATTTTGGGCTTAAAATTTTTCAGAAATCAATTCAGTTATCTAGCGTCTCCTTTGGTTATAAAAAGAAAAACCTCTGTGTGTGTGTGTGTGTGTGTGTGTGTGTGTGTGTGTGTGTATGTGTGTGTCCTTTTAGTAAATGTGGTAAACTTAATGGACTGTCAGATTCCATGCAATGGATGATGTGATGACCAAGAAGAAAAATGTGTCCTACTGAATTTTTTTCACATTTTTTTCTTGACTGTCAGTGTAGTTTGTGCTCATCATAGAAAATTAGGGAAAAGAAGAGAATATAAGTCTACTCTTACCAACATCTAGTGGAACCCACTGTTATTGGTTAACAGTTTCATGTTATTTACTTCATCTTTCTTCATATGCTTTTTTAATGTAGTTGAGATTATGCTATATATGTGTAAGCTGTAGCTTACTTTTTCCATTTAACAGTATCGTGAAAGCATTTGCTCTTATTGAAAACTCTTTATGGTGTAGCTGCTATGGAAAATAGTATGGTGTTTCCTCAAAAAAATTAAAAATAGAATTACCATATGATCTAGCAATTCCACTTCTGGGTATAGACCCAAATTAATTGAAAGCAGAATCTTGAAGAGATATTTGTACATGTTCTAGTTGCATTATTCACAATAGCCAAGAAGTAGAAGTAACCCAAGTGTCCATTGATGGATGAATGGATAAACAAATGTGGTATATATGGACAATAGAATATTATTAAGCCTTAAAAATGAGGGAAATTCTAACACACAGTACCACATGGATGAACCTTGAGCACATTATGCAAAGTGAAATAAGCCAATGACAGAAAGACAAATGCTACATGATTGCACTTATGTGAGGTTCCTGGGGTAGTCAGATTCAAAGACTCAGAAAGTAGAATGGTGGTTACCAGGGGCTGGGGAAAGGGAAATAGTTAGTGTTCAACTAATAGAATTTTAGTTTTACAGTATGAAAAGAGTTCTGGAAATTGGTGGTACACCCATGTGAATGTGCTTAACACTCCTAAACTGCACACTTAAAATGGTTAAGATGGTAAATTTTATATTATGCATATTTTATCACAATTTAAAAATTTTTTTAATAACAAACATTAAAAAAATTCTTTGTACTCTATCATTCCTCTAAGGTTATCGTCCTGACTTCTTATAATAATTTTTTCTTTTTTGCTTTGCTTTCTACTTTCCTGTCTATGCGTTGCCAAAAGTAAATTGCT